CTTTATCCACACATCGGGGAACCTATCGGATGAATCGCTTGAGTTTCGGGATCAAAACTGCTCCAGCTGAATTCAATAGGATTTTATCGCAGATTCTCAAACCAGATCCAAAAACTGAAGCGTATTTTGATGATATAATAGTTCATGGAACAGATTTCGACAAGTGTGCTCAAAATCTTGAAGAATGTCTCCGTTGACTCTCGGACTACGATATTCACGTTAACAAGAAGAAATGTTCATTTTTCATGGAAAAAATTGATTATCTTGGTCATATTGTTCAATACAGCAGAATAAGCAAGTCTCCAGCCAAAATGCGCGCCGTTTAGGATTTACCACGACCTTCGAATGCTGATGATATCAAACGATTTCTCGGACTTGTCACTTATTACTTTCGGTTTATACCACATTTTTCAACGATGTCATACCCATTTCGATGTTTGCATAGGAAAAACCAACCCTGGGTATGATCATCGAACTGTGAAGCTGCTTTCCTGAATATCAAATGAGAACTTTGTAGTGACCGAGTACTAATGCCTTTCGACCCATCTCTTCCACTGGTTCTAACAACGGATGCTAGCCCATATGGGGTTGCTGCGGTGTTAAGTCATCAATTCAATGGATTCGAGAGACCTATCGCTTATGATTCTCGTGCACTTACAGACTCAGAGAAGAACTATAGTCAGTTGGATAGAGAGGCTCTTGCCATAATTTTTGGTGTCACTCACTCCTACATGTACTTGTTCGGTACTCATTTCCTTCTGGTCACTGATAATGTTCCCTTATCGAGAAAATTACATCCTCACAAAGCCCTGCCACAAATGATTTCATCGCGCCTTCTACGTTATGCTTCTTTTTGTCCGGATTCAATTATTCCGTTAAATTCAATAAAGACAAGAAAATCAAAATGTTGACTGTTTGTCTCGAGCTCCAGTGAAGCAACTAAATGTTTCAGCAGATGTATTCATTGGTGATGAAATAAATCAAATTTGTGATCAAGTTGTTTTTCATATTTCAAGCAGTGAGATTACTTCGACTACAATCAAATGGAAACTGAAAAAGATCCAGACCTGAAACGAATACTCGAAACTCTACAATCAACATCAGAAGATAGCGAATTTACCTTGGTTGATGGCATAATTTTTCGAAAATATAGAGTTGTCATTCCAGCCGTGCTACGCACCAATGTTCTCGATGAACTTCATGATACGCATTTGGGGATGACTAAGACTCGCACGTCGGTATGTATTTTGGCCAGACATCGAGCGTGATATAGAGCGAATGATCGAAAGCTCCGAAATATGTGCCTTGACAAAATCAAACCACCCAAAAGCGCCTGTGCACCCGTGGGATCCTCCTGAGATGAATTGGAAAAGGATTCACATCGATTATGCGGGTCTATTCGAAGACCGTTACTTCCTGATGTGCGTGGATGTCAGATCTAAGTGGACTGAAGTGGAAATTTCAAAAGATGCACCAACCAGTTCATCCACCATTTATCTTCTAGAAAATATCTTCTCTATGAATGGTTATCCACAAGTGATGGTATCAGACAACGCTTCTATTTTTCGAAGCGAAGAATTCCACGTTTACTGCGTTTCGAAAAGAATCTTCCAGAAATTTATTGCTCCAAACTATCCTGCTACAAATGGTCTCGCTGAAAGGAATATTCAAACTCTGAAGAATCGGCTAAAGGCTGCTTCTAGTGATAACAGGCCGATCCAGGATGATCTACAGAATATTCTCTTCCGCTACAGAGCTACTCCACTTGTCTGTGGTAAATCACCTGCAGAATTGTACTTCAATAAGAAATTGAGAATCCGTTTGGATGCTTTTTTTCCGTTTAAAGTCCACAAGTCCAGGACATCTCCGAGGACTCCTCATTCATTTCATGAGGAAGAAAGAAGTCCAGATCAGACTTTTTATCAATAATGAGAACGTCTGGCATTTCGGCGTAATTCAAAAAGTTCTTGGACAACACCACTATTCGGTTACATTGGATTCCGGCCGAACACTGAAACGACATGTCGGCCAACTTAGATCCAGTTTGGTTCCGAAGCCTACTGTTACCTTTGGACCCAATCAATCATTCGATGTACCAAGAATAACAACAGTGTCACAGCCACATAATATACCAGAATGTGTTGTTGAACCAATGGAACCAAATAGGTGTCATGTTCCAGATATTCCTCAAGATCGACCACAGCGCCAGCGACGCCTACCTTCACGTTTTGCTGACTACGACATGAAGTCTTAAAAATTGTTGTTATAAGTTTTATTTTGATGATTTCTGTATTTTCTAATTATGTGGGGGAGACTGTCGTATCCTTAGTTATTAGAATCACCCAGTGACATACGATAATTAGTTTTCAATAAATGTGTCAAGTAACATTACAAGCCCTTCTGATATATCCCAGTTCAATACAATGAATCAACTACAATGATTAGGCTGACAGTGACATATGCGGGATGAAAATAATGATAATAATGGAACTAGACAATTGATATTCTTCGTTTTCGTACATTTTTTGTACGAACCGCTTGATGGGTTTCTTACTGAGTAATGATTGAACAGAAAGAGTAGTTGATATGATAATTATGATATCTGTGCCCCCGAACTCTCAACAGAACGAAAAAAACCTGCAAACGACTATGATTGTTAGCAGGAGGTGCAAACTAAAATCGACCGATCTAAGCATTTTTTCGTATCTACGCTATTATCACCCAGAATCTCCCTGTCATCCTGTATGATGAAAAGGTTATCGAATAATTAACATGAATACGTGACCAAAATATCAACATGAAGGAGGAAGAAACCTGCAGAACACAATAAATCTGATATCTTGGACTATGGATGATATGGAGGGACTCCGAAAGAATTTTTTCAGATATCTCGTAAACCAAGCAAAATTTGAAAAGGAATGTAGTGAGAAAAAAGATGGATTATTGATTTTGTTATTCAAGTGGATATCGAAATATTGTCAGTGGCGTACTCAAAAAAAGTTCTATGGATTTTCTCCAATCAGAATGCTAAATTTTTATCTTCCTGTATATCGATTGAACTGGTGAGACCTGTTATCAATGCACACTCCTTATAGTTGACTGCCTCTTGAATTTCAGATCATTACCTCTCAAGGATTTTGAAATATTCAATAAAATCTGAAAAAAAATCCATTCATCGCCCTCTCACGGCCCAACGGTGCATTTCCGTATAGAGGTGAATTGGTCCCTATCGACCTATTTTGAACTCTAGTTCACCCTGTTAAATTTAATGTACGTTGTTCTGGGACACCCTGTATATTTTCTTGTGTAAACTTTTGATTTTTAGGAAACTTTTAATGAACGTTCAATATTTTGGTTTCATTTCATGTAGGTATCTTCCAGAAAAGTATACAAAAAAACAAACGACGACTATGAATTATCTAAGGACTTTAATAGGAGCCAGTTGGCACACAGTGTATATTTGAGTATCAGTGCCGCCAGCTCTTGAAAGAGCCTAGAACAAAAATCATATAGCAAAGTAACTCTGAAAATCAACTTCAAGGCACTTCAACAACAAAATAACAACGTATTTTGGTAAGATTTGATCGGATTCTGTCTGAAAGCAGCCGAGAATGGATAGCTGCGAACGTGTTCCGAACAAAGATTGTTCGACTGAGAATCTTCAATGGTCATGACCACACCACAGTGGTCTACAGTCGAATGCAGTTTATGAACTTTGGGATAAATATTTATTCGTCTCCATACACCGTGTGACTCTACACCTTCTGCTGTAAAATCATAGAGAGGAAGAGGGTAGAGCAATGTCACGACCCCGAACTTTAATTGGCAATATAGTCATTTTTCAATAGTAAATCACAAAAGTTGCCTACTGGCCGGTTTAACGACGTTTTTTCAGTGCATTCCCAATGGAAATTGAGCGGTTCATTCTCACACAGAGAGTTTTGAGAGAAAATATAATTTCAGTAATCATCATAATGATAGTAATAATAAATACTACAATAAAACTACTCTTCGTACTCTTGAATATCCACTTCTGATTTGGTCAATCAGCCAAAAGTTCACGAATTCCGTTTCTGTTGATTGATATTGTAATTTATGGAGTATCTGGAAAATGGTCAAAACTCGAAAACTTCTCTTCTTTGGTATCTGGAATGAACTATGTTTTAATCAAGATATCTATTAATCACAACTGCATATAACCTAGCCTGCTGCAACAATAGTAAGGTAGAAACAAAGAATCAAGTCTGAGGTAGAAATAGATTGTTTTTAGGACTGAAATTTCATGGTTTAGGTAGTAACGTATTAACACGATGGATGTTCTCGAAGAAGAATATCAGTTCATACCACTAAATTCGATTAGATGAGAATGCATAATGCACTCATACAACTTTCATCATCTATTCACTTATTACAATAAAAAATGACATACAAATGGAATACAAATGGAAAACACATCAATTGTTACTGACGAAAAAACTATGTCAATTGAATGACTTCATGGCATTGTGGAACCTATATATCCTTCATTCATTGTTCAACCAATATCGTTTCAGTGATCTTTGTAGAATATACTTTACCCATTGATTTCCCAATGCCGTAAAATCAGTGTAATCTTGATTCACATGAATTCATATCAAAAATATACTATATTGCACCAGCGAAATGAAAGTGCAACATACGTCTCATATGAAAAATAGTGCCAGCAGTATGCCATCGATTTAATCAATGAGCCATTGAATAGCCAGCTGTGTCGTGTTTGTTGGGTTATGTGTAGAATAGAATTTGGATACGGAGAGCATCTCAATATATTTCATCGTTCTAAGGAAAAAAAGAAAATCACATTATTATTATATACTCTTCAGATTATCCTGGCAAGGGAAATGGATTAATAAAAATCATCTTCGAAATTGAAATATATCATTTCAGACGTTTCCTATTTTTTTTGTCTTGGTTGTATGTATTGAACTATCAAACTACCTGAGCTCATTTCGTATTTTCAGCACCAGAACCATTCTTTGTTCATCAACCGATTGTGTCTGACATCACATTTTCTTCGACCCAAGTGAAAATGGAAAATTTCGAAGTGGTAGGATATGATGACAGGTATCCTTCCTATGTTTTTCAGTACATCGAAGACCCTAATCAATTTTCGAATGAAGAGCAAAGCTCATCTAAGGTATATCGCGCACAAAATCTTCAGTTTATCGAGTTGATGAGAGACATGTTTATTCACTAGTTCAGAAATAAATCGTTTTTTGCAGAATGATCAGAATTCGTGGATTCGTGTTGGAGATAAGTTAACCATCAACGAAACAAAATTCGTTTTGCTAACAAATTTGAAACCAGATACATATTACAGAGTGAGAGCCGTAATGAATATCAATAGAATTGGTAGAAAATTTAAAGAAGATGAGGATTTCGTGAAGTCTACCAGATGGAAAACTACATGCAATGGTGAGTGAAAATTAGAAACGCGGACAATTTGAAACATCATTGAAATCAGAACAGTGGTGTAGCTTTTGTAAATATTTCAAATCAACTGATGGTGTTCTGTTATGAAAAATTAGTTCATTCCAAAATAATTCAATGAAATTCATTCCTCATTCATCGTATGATGATTATGAAACAGATCATAATGAAATAGATTTAATATAATGAGACTATAATAGATAAATGAATCAATTATACCGGGTGTAACAGGATCATGGTGCACCCCCATTATCTCCTTTAGTTTTGAAGATAAGTGAAAATTTGGAATAACCCATCAATTTGATTAATAATGATAATAATAATAATAATATGTAATTTTATTGACCATTCCAACAGAAAACAAAATCAGAGTCCATAAACTATCAAAAAAAGAACATGAGGAAAGGTCAAAAGGCACATGATCAGTATGGTACTGGTCTTCCTCAAGCGCCTGTAGCTCAACTAAATATTGAGAAGTTATATATATATATATATATATATATGTATTCAGAAATATTAAAGTATTGAAAGAAAAAAAAAATAAAAAATAAAGACTGATACATAATATGGTTAACTACCTATTTAATAAACTCATATATACTCATATATTTGAGCATTGGTCAGTGAAAATAGAGTTAAATAATTGTTTCTTGAAACTGGTTAACGACAAGACTTTGATATTTTCTGAAAGTTCGTTGTATTCCTTGGCAATGCGGTACGAAAATGAGTTCTCATATTGTCGGGTACGATGTTTCGGAATAGTCAGGAGATTTTTTCGACGAATATTCAGGTTATGTATATCTGTCCGATACGTTATTTTTACATTCAAGTATGCAGGAATATGCTGTCTTATTATTTTATGGAATAAAGTCAGGGCGTGGTACTACCTCCGATTGATCATATTCAACCAAGAAGTATCTTGTAAAGTATGTGAGATTCTTTCAAATTTCCTTATACCATATATCAACCTCAAACACGAGTTTTGTAATTTCTGTAATCTTTTGATGTCAATTCCATTCAAGCAAGGCCCATAAATGTAATCACAGTAATTTGCATGTACGAGTACAAGTGATTCGCATAACTGTGTTTTCAGTTTGACAGTGAGCAAGTGTCGGTTGAGATATAAAAGTTTCAATTTGGCATAAGATTTTTGAAGAATATAAGATATATGATGACTGAATTTCAATTTGTTATCAATTATAATGCCTAGTTTTTTTAACTTTATCGTTTGATGGTAGTATCTCATTTCCTATTTTCACATTGAAGTCGGCAGGTGGCATAAATCCAAAAAACATAACTGATGATTTTGATGTATTGATCAGTAAGTCATGCTTTTGTGAGAGCGTCACTAATGCATTGAGATCCTCATTTATATCTATCTGTGCCTCAGCTGAATTATTAGGATCGAAGAAGTGGTAAATCTGGGTATCATCTGCATACATATGTATGTTACACTTTTTCATAACTGATGGAAAGTTAGAGGAATAAATTGTGAACAAAAGTGGTCCCAGAATGGAGCCTTGTGCTACTCCCCGTTTTATGCTTTCGTTGTCAGATAGCGATCCATTGAAAACAACTTTTTGAGATCTATCACATAAGTAGTTCCTGAAGAAATGTATGCATGACTGCCCAAGCCCTATAAATTTCATTATTGCTAAAAGTAACTCATGATTCAGCATGTCGAAGGCTTTACTGTAATCAAGTAAAACTAAAACACCGATTTTACGATTATCCTGTGCAGCAAAAATATCATCAGTTATGTTTAAAAGAGCCGTACCACAACTATATCCTGGCCTGAAACCCGATTGGACTTCTGGTAGAATATTGTAAACACTGAGATGTCTCCGAAGTTGATATTCTACAACTCTTTCCATAATGTTTGATAATGTAGGAAGTATAGTAATCGGTCGCAAATCACCTAAGTGTTCAGCTGCACTTGTCTTCGGAATAGGTATGACCCTACCTTCTTTCCATGCCTGAGAAAACACTGAGTTCTCTAAACAAAAATTAATAATATGACATATATAGGGAACGAGGAGTGGACACAAAAAACGCAGGAGTGTGACATTGATTCCGTCACAGCCACAAGAGTTACTTTTCATATTCAATATCAATCTAGATATTTCCTCTTCGCTGACTGTTTTGAAGTTGAATTTTTCTGGGAAATCAGTTTTCAGATGGCTATTGTAAAAGTGGACGGTCTCTAAATCTGGGTTACTCACAACGTTAGTAATCTTAAGAAAAAAATCATTGATTTCATTCGGATTAGTTTGAAAGCTGATCTGATTATTTTTATCACCATCACGTCCAATGAAATTATTAATAATTTTCCATTTTTGCTTATTATCAACATTCAGTAATTTTTGTTCAAAATAGACTTTTTTCTCCATTCTGACAGCTTGAGTTATGTAATTTCTCAAGTCTTTGTAATATTTCCAGTGTGAAACCTTTTTTGTTGCCCTATATTTAATCATTGCCTTATCTCTCAAGTGAATCATGAATTTTATATTATCCGTGATCCATGGTTTGTGTGACTTTTTAAAGGTAGACGTTTTATAAGGTGCATGCTTGTCAAATAAGCCTAGTATGAACGAGTTCAATATATTCACCTTTTCGTCGATGACTTCAGATGCATATATGCGAGTCCAAGGTACTGCATTGGCGTCATTTTCGAAAGTTTCCCTGTCAAATTTAGAGAAATCTCTGTATGTGTGGGTATTTTGGTGATGAGTTGGAGTGACCACATCAATTATACACCCAGTAAGTAAATGATCGGAAATGTTGATATCTGTAACTGTGCATTTACAATAAGATAATGAGTTGTTGAGAATGATGAAATCTAATAGGGCATCTTTTCGCGTTGGTTGCTGGACTATTTGTTTGAGGCCAATACTATCTAGAAGTGAGTAAAATATACTCGTTGTAGCATTCATGTTCAAGAGATTTATGTTAAAGTCGCCAGCACAAATGATGTTCTCATGGTTCAGGGATAATGAAGCTATATTGTTTTCGAAACAATCCAAAAAATTCATCACCTCTGCATTAGGGGGACGATAAATGGTTCCTAGGCAGAAATTATTTTTACCGAAATCAACATTGAGCCATATTTGTTCATAAGATCCGTTTTCGTGAGTATCTTCAATTACTTTCACTCTGAAAGAGTCCCTCACATAAGTACAAACTCCTCCTCCCCTGGTATTCCTGTCATTGCGGAAACATCTAAAACCTGTAATATTAATCATATTATCTGTTATATCTTCAGTTAACCATGTTTCAGAAACTCCAAATATATCGTATTTTTTTGTTAATATCAAATCTCTTATTTCGTTAATTTTTGGCAATAGTGAACGAATATTTATATGACCAATGCTCAGTTTTGACATCTCTAACTTTTTATTTCGTTGAGATAATTAGCACAAAAAATTGTCGAATGATAAACGAAATAAAACTAATATTTATCGCCAATTCCACCAAGGAAAAAAACTGTAATGAAGATAGCTGAATACCTCGCTGAATACCTTTAATTAAATTCAATAAGTAGAAAGAAAATTGAATAAACGGAAGAAATGAAAAATTCTCGAGTGCCTGAAATTATAATAGTAAGGGAGCAGAAGGTTATTTTGTTTTATTAGCGGATGACCGCGTTTTAGGACTATAGTTGATCTTGGTTCTTTTTCGTTTCTTCTTCTCTGCACCTGTAGCACTGCCTGAAGTCACAATGCTGCTGTTTGCTGTAGCCTGAGATGAAGTTTGCGTGAGTAACGCTAGTTCTTCTATGTCTTCTTCCAGATCACTGTCTGCTTCCTTTTCAAGATTTTCCAATTCTTCCACCGTATACAATTTGCTGTCAATCTCCAGAGCAAAACCCTTTATTTTGGCCGAGAGGTTTTGAGATTTAGCGATCTTCAAATGTCGTAACAGAATTTTTTGTATTTTTCGATCTTCATAAGAAGTATCATGAGCTATAGCTATTCCAGTTCCTTTAAGGTTCTGAATATTCTTATATAAATCTTGTTTTTTCAAAAACGATACAAACTCCAGAACGATTGGATTTCCTTGCAACTCAGCTTTTCCAATGTGGTATATGTTATTGATGTCCTCACGTTTTATATTTGTGCCCAATAAATTATTCAGGGTCAGAGTTGTTTCTTCTAATAGGTTCGATTTATTCTTAATCTGTATACCAAAAATCACTATATTGTTTTTTCGAGCTTTCCTTTCAAGTTGCTGAACTTTAGTCTCCAATTCTGCAATTCTTTTATTTCAGTCGATCACGCTGTTCGAAATGCACTGAATACTTGTGTTCAATTCTTTCTTGATTTCATCCGTCTGCAGGGTGTTGGCCTCTTGTACGGTTGCTTTGATAAGTTCAAATAATTCCGCTGCTGTGAGATCTTGTACAGATTTCTTTGACTCCGGCATGTCTCGTGTGAAATTTGAATTTTCCGTGGTGGAATCGAATCATGAGATCCTTATCAGCTGGTGTGGGTGAAGAATATCTTCGCAAGCTATTATAGGCCTTATGATAGCCGTAATAAGGAAATAGCGTTTTAGTTGGTGAGCAGTTACATAAACTTACAGTTTTTGTAGACAGGCTGTAGATGCACTAATGATGAAACGGCTGTAGCAAATTCACACACCAACTATGACTTTCTACCACTCTAAATAAGGTTTCAAATAGGAGCCAACTAACACGTGCGACGATCAGAGGTATAATGACGTCATGGTCTGACAAGAATATGTCTTATTTTCCATTTATGATTTCACCGGTAATAATTTTACCTTTTGATTTTCGATTGGAACATTCTGTATATCATTGCATTTTCGAATTCTGATTCAAATGATACCATATGATAATTGGCATTTCAAACTTCAATATTGATTTCAACTCCATTTCTTCATTTATAATCAATTTTTTTTTTAGAAATAAGTGATTCTGACATCAACATTGTACCTCATAATATCACTGCATCAGTAACTGTAACTGTGAAGG